AATAGGACTAGATGGCTCTTCCAACATGTTTTCTAACCATAAAGCAAGATCATCGCTATCATCCTTGTCAGACTCACCGGGGTTGATGACCACTTCCGTATCATTCCCCTCCTCTTCGAGACTTTCCTTGTCCTCAAGGATTAATAAATTAAGCTCTCTTTCATTCTCACGGCCATTAGCATCGATCACCATTGCTTCTCGGGCTTCCATGAGTTGTCTTTCACGATCCTCCCAATCTCTACGTTCATGGAGCTCCTCCAAAAATTCTTGCTCCCATGCGGTTAATTCTCTTTCCAATCCTTCGAGATACTCAAGATCCTCTAGATCTAACTCATCCAATGGTAACATCATTTTTTTTTTTTTACTCTAAAAAAATCGAAAATAATAGGGGAAAAATTCGAAAAATTCGAACCCCCAACAAGACTCAAAAAATCGAACAAAAAAGAAATTCGGCCCCTCAACAAAAGGTAATAACCGAAAAAAATAACAAAGGACTAACAAGTTGACACTCTTTTTTTTTTTTAATGAAAAATCGAATAAGAATTCGAAATTTCGACTCAAAAAATAAGAGAAATTCGGTTCCCTCACCAAAAGGAAAAACCGAAAAAAAATAAAGATAAGATAGACAAAATCTCGATCAGCACCTCTCAATGAATGCACCAATGATGACGGATCGATCTTTTGTCTATACTGGGTTGCGAATAAACGACGCACTGAGGCCTTCGTTTATCCCCGATAGATGTATCTAGTAGACGCACTGCGGCCTTCTCCTAGACACCGTGTCTTCAAGACGCACTATTGGCCTTCTCTCCGACACTGTATGTAAAGACGCACTAACGGCCTTCTTTATCACACGTTAAGAACACAAGGTTCCCCCTCAAAATTGGCTCACCAATTCAATACTCAATTCAACTTCTAAAATATGATGAGGTACATGGGGTATTTATAGTTATAAAATAAGCCTAAGCCTAAATCTAATAGATCTCCTAAATCATGCAAGAATAGAAATCCTAAGTCTAGAAAGCAATAAAATCCTAAACCTACCAAAATACTAATGCTTGGCTTGCACACCAAGCAAATCTAGAAGCTCCCTAAAAAAACCCTACAAGCTAATAACTCCTTCGACCGCCTCTTACGCGTCGCGCGCGTCGTTCGAGCGCCGTCCCTCGTGCTCCCTTAGTCCTTCGGCACTTAGGCTTCGCGCGCGCCCCTCACACGCGCACGCTATTGCGCGCGCTTCGCTTGTGTCGCCTGCCCCGCGTGCGTGTCCATCACCGCTCAACACTCCTACGCCCGCTAGGATTGGGTCGCCCGCGCTTGCCCCTTACTCGTGCGCTGTCGCGCGCTCATCGCCACTGCCGCCCAGCCGTCGCGCGTCCTCGCCACCTGCGCGAGTCCTGCGCACGCCATCAGCTCGTACTTCGCCCGCACAACTTCCTTGCGCCTCGCGCGTTGTCCCCAGCGCCCATGCGTCCCGATCGCCTACTTCGCGCCCGCGTACGCCCATTGCCTTCCGCGTGCTGCCAACTTCCATCGCCGATCCTTCCGATGCGCACCATCGTTCGTCGCCGTCACTCACCCGTGCACCCGTTATCTTGCGCGTACCGCCAACCACCGTGGCCTGCTGGTCTACCACGCACC